ATATTAATTAATCATATTGTAGATATAAAGTTGCTGAAAATAGTAATTAATTTTCGTTAAGAATCAGAAGTACATATTAAGTAAATATCCTTTCTTAACATAATATTTTTCATATCTATGATCAAATATCTTCCATAAGTTTTGTATTTATATTATATTAACAACTATAGTTGAAAACTAATAGATAATGGTTTTTCTTAATGATTTTTTTTCTATCACAATTGATAAATAAGATTATTGATTATTTATTTGTCACAAACTATAAATGAAAATAGTCCTCAACAGATTTAAAAATTATTTTATAACTACTATTGTATATTATTTTTGTTGTAGAAATGGAGAAAATTATTTTCATTGATCAATTTTGTTGAGTGCTAAGACTTTTCTTTTTTCATTATTTAACAATTTTTTTTTAAAATGAAATAATTTAGCATCACTAATAATAATAATAATAATTATTATTATTAATAAATAAATAAAAATTTCCCTATACATATTTATTAAAATCAATACAAGAATGTAACAAATATAATAATTAAGCATTAAAATTAAAAAGTAAATACAACTTAGTTGTTAACGATGTATGTATTATATCATCAAATTAATGTATTGATATTGATACAAGAATGTTTGAAGTTTAACTAATGATGAATTCAAATATTAAATATGTAATTATGTTATACATGAATATGAGAAAGAATTTTGTTATCAATATGATCTCGATATACCAAGAACAATATATGTAGTATTCTTTAAGACATGGGTTTGATTCTCAAGTATAATATTGTTACTTAAAATATTTAATATATTTATTATACTAATTAATTAGTTGAAAATAATAGAATAGGTGTTCGAGCATATTGCTAACCATAATAAAATCATTAGAAATAAAAAAATTTGTAAAAAGTTAAAAAATACTTTAAATATATCAATATCAATGTACTTGAATAAATATTCGATCCGTAATATTGAATTATAGTTGAAATCACTTTAGTTAGCTAGGTTTCGTCCCGATATTCAACCCTATATATCTTAGTATAGTATATGAACTAGTCACTCGAAGTGGTACCTGTACGTCGCCATCGTGTAAAAGCCGTATATTTAAGCCTATCTTCGTATGATCTTGTGAGATAAGTCTTAGATGCTAACTAAGCTGAAACTTCCATACGTGTATAAGGGACAAAGTCTCGAGATAAAAAGAAGGGAATAACAAGATCTTACATACAGCTACATATATACTCTGCGGGTGTTAGTGCTCTACTTATACAGCCCCACTTTAGAAAGAACAAGAATCTTGTGCCCAAGGTCCACTCTTGTGTTACAAACAACTTCGACCTTGAAGACCTACGTACCTTCCTGATTAAACACAAATTTACGATAACAAAAAGTAATTATCTATGTTATATATATATATATATATATATATATAAACAAGTGAAATATAAATATGATTCCATAGATAATATTATTCTTTTACATTCAAATACTCAAACTATTTCTATGTGTTTGCAGTCATGGGAATTTTCGGGCTTGGTGAAGGGTCTTTATTTTAAAACAATTTGTATCTAATTTTAAGTGCATGTTTTTACAAATTTGTCTTGATTTTGTCATGGAATGAATGATTGTACTTCAAGTATTTTGGTCAGTTTGGTGTTGCCATATTCAATCCATGGAGTTTTGGGTGTTGTGATGTGAGAATCTAGCTGTTTTTATGTTTTGGTTATCCTCTTTCATTCTTAGAAAAAAATTATTAGGTGTTTTGAACTATATAATCTTTAACTAGTTTTTTTATATGATATGTAATTAAGTATTTTTAATTTTTTTATAAATTAAAAAATTTAAATGCATGTTATATAATAATTAGATGAGATCATAAACACTTAAATCAGCTCATGATTTCTTGTTTCTCAAACCTTGTATAGGCCTTCTTATGTTGTATTATGATTTTTTTTTTAAATTAGTATATTGATTTGCTTAACAAAAGAGAAAAAAAAAATGAAAGTATATATTCCTATATGGCATACATGAAGATAACAACAAATATTTGCGCAATATATTTCACGGTTGACCTGATAGCAACATATGCAGTTCAAAAGGAAAGATCGCATGTTACTAATTATTTAAAACTTTGGGAATAATATTTTGTGTGATGACCACAAACACATTATCTATCTTCTCCACTGATAATTATTCCTAGACCTAGCATACATTACAATCTTGAACATATCGAGGTAGAGAGCGATAGTTTTCACCCCTTTCGGCTCATCTTACCTATATAAATTAAATGTCCAACAACCACTGTTCTCAATCTCAAACATTGTTCCTTTCGGAAACTTTGAGCATACTTGATATATATATATATATATACACTTTCCGAACCCCCTTTATTCTCTTACTTGACTTTCTTATTCGATCACTATGACCATGTCAAGAGCATTGTGTAGACCAAGATGTACACAGCCACCGAAAAACGTTCCTTCCAGTGGGCAAAGACAGATAATGAGGCCAAAAGAGAAGGTGGTGTTGGTGATGGGAGCCACAGGGTGTGGGAAAACGAGGCTCTCCATCGACCTGGCCTCGTGTTTTCCATCAGAAATCATCAACTCAGATAAGATACAAGTGTACGAAGGGCTTGACGTTGTGACAAACAAAGTCACAAAGGAAGAACAACGTGGGATCCCGCACCACTTGCTAGGGACACAGAACCCCAACACCGAATTCACAGCTTCTGACTTTTGTGACATGGCCTCACACGCCATTCAATCAATCACCGACCGTCACAAGCTTCCAATCATCGTCGGAGGTTCCAACTCCTACATTGAGGCCCTCGTAGACAAGTTTGGCTCCAGGTATATATATATATACATACAATAACTTTTTTTCTTTTTAGTAACCATATTGTATATATATATTATTCTTGTTGTGTGGTACGCATGACATATATAATATGTATTTATGTCTTATAATTGTATATATATATGTACAAATTAATATGATTACTCAGGTATGATTGGTGTTGTCTTTGGGTGGACGTGTCGATGCCGGTGCTTCATTCCTACGTGGCGCAACGAGTGGATGAGATGGTAGATGGTGGAATGGTTAAGGAGTTGAGACCTTTCTTCAATCCAAACGGGGACTACTCAAGGGGGATAAGAAAAGCCATAGGGGTGGCGGAATTCGACGCGTATTTTCGGAGGGAAGCGTGTTCGAGCAACGAAACGAGGGTGAGGTTGCTGCAAGAAGCGGTGAGGGACGTGAAGAGGAACACGTGCCAGTTGGCATGCAAGCAACTTGGGAGGATTCATAGGCTCAGAAGTGTTAAGGGATGGAACATTCACCGTGTTTCTGCCACACCCGTCTTTCAGAAACGTGGCCACGAAGCCAATGAGACGTGGAACAGTATGGTGGCGCAGCCATGTACCTCCGTAGTTTCACAGTTTCTCTACAATGCCAATGTTGTTTCTCGCTCTAGAGTCTCACCTTCTCTGCAACAAAATTAATACTCATTAAGGATATATCATAATTGTTCTGTTTTTTTTTTTTTTTTTTTAATGCCTTAGAATCTTAGATTGTGTTGCTACATGTCTCATATATTTCTCAATCAACGTCGATCGATTGGTTGTTACATGAATAATTATGTACTTTAATTTTATACTATATTTCTATTCATTTTCGTAGACCAATGCTATATTTTTTTTATTCCATAGCAAACAATTTTCCTTGGATTAGGTAAAACTACCATAGTCAACAGAGTTTTTTCTAGCTATAATCTAAGAATTCTAGTTACAATCTAAGAATTAAAAATCTGAAAACTTGTAAGTTAGTTGATTGAATTTAAAGTTTTTGGTAAAATTAATTAATAGATTGAGTGATAAATGTTAAACGACACATAGTGATTTTTATGATACGAATGAGAGAATAAAAAATAGACAAATTTTTTTTCTAAATAAAAAAGAGTAAAAAATGATTTCAAGTAAATTAATAAAGTTAAAAAAGAAAAATGGTTAAATATTTATAAGTTATAAGTTACTTCCTCAAGTTGCGAAACTAAATTATGAGTTCTTATAAGTGTTCGAGTTCGATTTTTTTATAAAAATAATCTTTAATTAGATTTTATTTATCTTTTGATCAAATAAATTAATTAATTTAAAATGAAGTTTTAAGAGATTGATGCAAAACAACCAATTTTTTTTTTACCAAACATATTTATTTTGATTAAATTAACTTATAAACTAGTTAAAAGAGTTTATAAGTTTCTTAAATGTCTTACCTCAAGATATGTTTAGTAAAAATTATTGCTTATAAACTATATGTTAAAAGTTAAAATTTTGAAAGTTTATAAATTAACTAATTGAGTCGAAAGTGATGGACAAAATTAAGTGATAATTAAAATAGATGATAAATGTAAAATAATATTTATTTATTTAATAATAAGAATGAGAGAATGATAAGACAAAAAAATTGATTTTTAAATTAAAAGTGGTAAAAAAAAGTTTAAGTAAATTTTAATCATGAGAAGAAAAAAAAAGAAATTAAGAGCTTAAAAACTATAAACTACTTCAATTAGTTTATAAAAATAAGTTATAAATTTTTAAATTAAGCTTATGTACCTCATAAACTTATTTTAGTCAAATTAATTTATAACCTAGTCAAAGAAACTTGTATACTTCTCAATTTTCTTACTAAACACATCAACAAGATATTAAAAGAACTTATAGCTAATTTGAATAAAATAACCTTGTTTAGTATGAAAGCTTTATTTTTGTAGTTTATAACTTATTTTCATAAATCATTTGAAATGACTTATGAAAATAAGCTTGCTTAAAAGCTACAAGTTTCTTTTTTTATTATTTGTATTTACTCTCGTTAACTTTTTTTTAATTAAAATCTCTTTTTACATCAAATAACAAAACATATCTTCAATTAAATATCTTAAATAGTGTTCATCAATTAATATTTTACCAAATACACTCAATTAAATTAGTTAACTTGTACATTTTTGGCTTCTAAATTCCTAACTCATAACTTATAATTAAACTTTTAATTCTTAACTTAAACTTTTAGATAATTTATAACTAATTTTACCAAATATACACTATTCTAACATTTGTATAACAGAGTTGCATACTAATTATCGATCTCCGTCTTCTTCTTATTCAATAGATGAAAAAAAATCAAATAATTTTTATTAATTATATTTATTTTTCTTTTAACTCCTTTTATTTGAATAAAAAGTATTATAAAAAGATATAACATTCCTATTTACAAATATATGTGTGCTTTTGTAAATTTGTATAATAAAGTTTTGATACTATTTTAAACATAAAAAATTGAAGAAAATTTTACCGATAAAATGTGTGTATAAATAGAAACAACTTAATTTCTTTCCTTTTATTATACTTAAAAAATAAAATGAAAATGCCAAGAAACAAAGAACAACATCTATAATTAAGAAAATTAATTTTACTCCCTACTTTTTCTATCTTCTAAGCCTTTTTCTTTCGAAAAAGAGAAACGATATGAAAATTTTCATAAGAATTGCACGAAAATTAAGTTGTATTGATTTGGGCAAAGTTCAACTTTTGACTATCACCAACCTCCTAATCTCCTATGATTGTTAGAAGATCTGGTCGGTAAAATAGTAATTTGTAAAGTTTTCAGGCAAATGCTTTTTGAACTAAATCATGGGAGAAAAGAAAATTTCATTTAACTTTATCTTTATTTGTTTATTTATTATTACAATAAAAGTAGGTCCGTTGGGTAGAAATGGTGCGTAAGAAAAAGGAATGTGCGTGGGAGAAATATTTTTCTGATGAATTTATAAAGCTGATTCTTTTTTCTTTTTTAGGAATTATAAGCCCGACTAATTTGTTACTAATATTTCAGAGTTATTTTACGCTTCAATTTATATATTTATTTTATAAAAAAATTATTTATTTTTCCTCACATCACATATCAAATGAAATGATTACACATATAAAAAAAATTACTTTATAAAAAAATCATATATTATTACTTTCTCCACTTCCTATATTTCTCTATTTATCAAATGAAATGATTATTTTGTACGTTGTTTAGAAATTTTGCCTAATCACATAATGAAAAAAATAAATGATTTGAAGCAAGAAAATACTAAAAAAAATCCTTTTTAATTACAAACTGTATTTGAACCTAAAGGCTTTGGCAAACCTTCAACGACCACAAAGTCGCCCCCCATTCTCAGCAGATAAAATCATAAAATCCTCAATTTAAACTTGCAAAAAAAATGATTTTACTTTTTTATACATATTTCTAAAAAGGATAAATTTTAATATTTATTAATGAATAGTAATACTGTTCCTATTAAATAATCAAATATTTCTCTAAGAAAACTTCTCATCCTTTAATAGCATATCTTGACTCAATAGTTTTTTTAACTTTTTTTCTCCTAAATCGAAATTTTGCAGAAAATATAATTTTATAAAAAAATAAATAAAGACCTTTTAAAATAAATAAAGACCTTTTTAAATATCTTGACTCAATTATATTAAAAATAATTTCTGACGGATACTATATAATTTTATCTCCCTTAGTCTTTTTAAATGATTGTCACACCCTTATAGTTTCTAATTAACAAAGTGATACTTGTCCTTCTTATTTTATTTAAATAAATTACCCTGTTTCTTTAATACTAACTAGAGAGAGGTGAGTATTTTAAAAAATAAAAAAAAAAATTAGAGGGTTGTTACATGTTAATGTCATTTAAGAAGACTGTTGGAAGTTTCTTCCTATATTTTTTTATTATTTTATTTTTAACATTAACAAGTATGTTAATTTATTAAACTCAGATTATTTAAGCCTCTCTCGTTTCATAAGTTTTGCATCTTAAAGTATTTGAAAAATAAATACTAAAATAATTTTGATATACCTTTCTTATAAGTTTGAAAAAAAAAACTTATCTTAAGTTTGAAACATGCTTTGGAAAATGTTTGACATGTGTTTGAAAAGTTATGTGTGCATTGGCAATTAGTGGTATGAAATGCACATAAAGGTATAAAATTGGCATTCGCATTGGCATCATAATCATAATTAAAGAATTTGGAATGAGTGACTAACGGCTCTTTCGTCCGTAGACTATACGTGCATGCGGGATACCGCTTACCCATGATGAACTAACCACTCTCTCCTTTTCATTTTTATTTTTTACACATATTTTCAGTATAAATATTAACCACTATAATTATTTGAAATATTTTAAAGTATAGTGGTTAATATTTTTAATGGGTGGATGTTTTTATTTTTGTGTGGGATATGTTTAAGAATTTAGTCTTAAATAATATCTGCATGCAGAAGCTTTTAAAAATATAATTATTTAAATTAAATTGTAAAAGTTTAATAATCAAAATAAAAATAAATACGAAATTTAGACCAATAAAACTTTGAATTAAATTAAATGTTTAACGGCTACGAATGAATTGTTTGTTTAATCAACATCATGGTTCTTGCACACCTGCATTTAACCTCTTTATTAATATTTGTATATTTACATTTATTAAAATTTCACTATAAATTAAGTTAATAAGTTATTGCATATTTTTTTTATAAAAAATGTTACTATAAATAGAGTTTTTTTTAATCTCAATATTATTATTATTATTTTTAATTATTTCTCAAATTTAAAATCTCACATCAAATAAAAAAATATCACATGAAGAGTATAATAAAAATTAAGTCTCATATCAAATAAAAGAATGATATGTAACATATATATATAATCATAGAGTGAAACTTAAGATAAATGAATTTTAATATTTGATTTAAATTTGACGATAAGTGATTGACTTTAAATGTTTTCAATTTTAAAAGACTTGTAAAAGTTATAAATTATATAGTGATAACACCATTTATATTAAAACTAATTATTATTTTATAGAATTTACAAAAAATTAATAATATTATTAAAATATTACAAAATATTACTTATGATAACATTTTTAATTTTTTTTATTAATATATAAAAATATTATTAAAAATCTTTAGCAACAATAGATTATATACAATATTTAATATTATATCATAAAAATAAATAAATATTTATACATAATTAGATAATATATTTTAAAATTTGCCAAAAGCTAATGTTATCGTAGTGGCATAATACTTTAAAAGAAGTTTTTCTCTTAAATTTTAAATGAATTAGTCACACCAATTCATCTTAGCTCAAAAAGTTAATTTGATGGATTTGAATGTAGAAATTAGATCGAAATTGTATTATGGAGATAAGTTTTAAGTTATTCTAACTCATCAATTTGGTGTCTCACATCCTTTAAAGTTTTATAATTTTTTTATTAGTTATATATGTATTAATAATATGATTTGACTAATAGCATACCTTATTTTTATTTATTTTTAATTTTATAATTTAATTATATATAATATTAAAATTTATTCTAATTTAACAAAATGATTTGTCTCGAATATGTTCAAGATGTATACCCTTATTAATTTTCGGGTTATAATAGAAATCACTTTCGGCTCATCCTATGAAAACTCCTCTATATAGGTCTAACTTATTATAATCCAATTCAAGAGCAATCC